AGCTCCTTGTGTTCTAGTGATTATGAAGGTCATTTATTTTGTGTTAGTATTCCATAAACCACAAAATAATCCATACATCCCCGTATTTCAGATCAAATCCATATGTTCTCTTTCACCATAGAATTTGTGAGATGATCAAGTTCAAATGTTCTTTTTAAAGTTATGGCCTTGGATTTTATAATAATATATTTGAGGTGTATCTGTGACCATATGGAAGTATCTATGGAAACCAACAGATTAGAGTTTCATCTTTCCCTTTCTGTATGACAGAGTGGGTGGAGAGAAAAAGTAGTTGTGAACCTGAAGGAAGAGACCCTTCCCATCCTAATCATAGAAAGTTCTTCTCAGATGATAACCTCCTGCTCACCCCCACCATCCAGGGGAAGACTTGTCTCTACTACCTGGGGCAGGTTAAGGGTCTCCATTCTCCTCATTGTCCCCTGTGTAATAGGGTAGCTTAGTTGCTGAGCCATCATCAGATATGGTTCCTAGTAGGGAGAAAACATCATAAACACAGTAGGAGGTACAATGGCATGGTTCAGAAAAAATTTAGAAGCTTCATACTTGTAGATAGAAGGCTTAGAGCTCCTGCCTTAGAAGGATACTGATAATTGTTATAGTAGTCCAGGAACATTCCTAAAAGTTCTTTTTCTAAATGGTTGGTCCTCAGGTTGGTGGTATTTGAAAAGGTAGAACCTTTAAGGTGTGAAAACTAGTGGGAGGAATGAAGTTGTTGGGTGCATTCTCTTGAAAAGTATTGTGGGATGCTAATCTCTTCTTCTTTCTCTTAATATTCTGGTCACTGTGAGGTGAGGATCTTTGCTCCACCACATGCTCTCAGCATGATAGGCTGACTTACATTGGCCAAAAGCAGTAAAATATCTGAAAATGGAAGCCAAATCAAACTTTCTTCTTTATAATTTGATTCCCTCAGACATTTTATTTCAGTAATAGAAAGCTACCAAATATGCCACGTGAGGTTGGGTTAGTCATGTGATTTTTGCTTATTGAAGATTCCCACACTGGTAGCAAACTCATGCAAACAAAGGAGGCTATGGAACACACCTGGGCTGTTCAGCAGGCTCTCCTTCTCTGGATTTATGGGGTAATCTATCTCCTGGTACAGGACCTCATCAACAGCATCTTCAAAAGTGAATAAGACTATGGAATGCAGAATGAGTTCAGACATTGCTCCTAGAAGTCTTTCTATTACCAACAGACCATGGGATAGAACTAGATTTCTGTCCATCCCCGGATCTTAAACCCAGTCTCCACTAGCACTGCCCACATGGAAAATCATCATATTTGAGGGCTCCCTTTTTTAACCCAGGATGAATGCTTTTTAAGTCTCCAATCCATGGTAGAGGAGGTAGTGTTTTATATAAGGAGAACAAGACTAAAATGTGTACTTAAAAAATTGGCCCAATATTCTCATGCATACTTTCAGGTCACAGAATTCCCAAGTCCCACCTTGGCGCTGTGCTCTCCATCTGAGCAGCTGAGTTACCAGGATGATGAGAACAAGAAAGAGAAGGGCTCCCAGGATCATGCAGAGGATCCCAGGTAAGGAGAAGATGCCAGGGACAGGAGCTGAGGCGAACTGGTGCCTGGAGAAGAAAAAGAGCCATGAGTCTTTAGAGAGGACCATAAGCTCAGGAGAACCCAATTATCACTTGAGTCCTCAGGACCATAAAGTCCCTAGCTCAGACATTATATATATTAAAACTCAGGATATTACGACCCTAGATCCTGCTCTGGGCTGTGTCAACTATCTTCTTAGTCTGGTTTTAAGGGATTTCTATAAATTTAAGGCAGGTGAGGCAGTGGAGCTCCCTGAGTGTTACAATTCAACACAAATGATGGCTTCTTCTAACACCTGATCATCAGGCCTACTGTAATATGACCAGAGCTGTGTAGACTCCATAGTGCAGAACTCTGGAAATCTGCTTATCTCTTCCATTACTGGGTTTAGAGTAATTTTTTTTTTTAAAAAAAAGCAAACAAACAAAAAAATACACTTACTTCTCCTGGTTGGGCGAGTTGTTGTCCTTTCACCTGGGGAGAAGAAAAGGAAAATAGAATCACTGCACTGTTTTGGTCTGGGAATGTCTCTGGGTCCCACCCCCAACCATTGGCACATAGTTCTGTCCCAGATGCCAGGAGATTTGGCACAGCCTTCCAGTTCCAGGGATCAGGGCAGCCGGGCAGCCTGGGAAGCCCTTTGGATGCAATCACACTCCTTCAACCCTAGGCCCCCTGCCTGGTCCTGAGACTCACCAGAGCACCTCACACCAGCGTCCTCCTCATGCTTGCAGTCACTCTGTCCCCAGGGTGCTGCAGCACAGGCCCACAGGAAGGGCTCCCTGCCCCTGCACTGCACCTCATCTAGCCAGATGCTTCCATTTCCAGGGCCAAATGCAGCTTCTCCTGGGGCTTCCAGCGCAGAGCCACAGCCCAGCTGCTGACACACCACCTCAGCCTCTGCCAGGCTCCAGGAGTCATCGCACACAGTGCCCCAGGCGCCTTCATGCGAAACCTCCACTCGCCCTGAGCACTCACTGTCTCCTCCCCTGAGTCGGAGCTTCTCTTTGTCTGAAAAGGCAGCAGCACCTCCTATTACTCCCTGGTGGGAGGAAAGGAGCCCCTGGAAGCCATGAGGAAGGTGGGAGGGGATGAGGTACCTGTGCAGGGTGCAGTGGCTGGACAGCTCTTGGGTCGGTTTCCTGCAGGAGCAGACAGTGGGGGAAGCACTAGTAAGTGACAGCTGGGGAGATCCTGCCCCCGGAAAAGTCTCTCTAAGGTCCTGGGCTCAGTTCAAGTGACAGGTAGAGATAAGGTGCTTCAGAAGTAGTCTATTAGACTGGGTTACTGCGACATTTATTTCCTGTAGCATATTCCTATCAGCAGCTGAAATTATTTTTATCAATTTACCTGTTTTAAATGCCTGCTATGTGAAAAAATACAAACATGATAATGCACATGCTCATGTATGTACATGAAAACACCCTCAGACACATGTTACCCAGAAAGAAAACTCCTCTAGAAAGGAGACTTGCCTCATTCCCTCTGTTCCTGCTAATAGGACAATGCCTGGCATGTTGAGTGCATTCCTTAGAAATATATATGGGTGACTTTCTACAAATGCTATGAACATTGGCTTGATAAATATTTAATGATTAAATAAATAGATGAGTAAGATGTGCAGGAAAATAGTTTTTGAATTCTTTCAAATCCCAAAGGCAATGAAAGAAATGTAAATTAATGTCAACAGTTTTTGGTAATAAATATTAGGCATTTAAAACATAAGTACTGAGTAATACTCATAATAAGTTATATTCAATATATCTCATATTGTTAATGAAAAATTACAAACATTGAAAGTATTCATTTAAATTAATTGAAACTATTATTTTACATAAATTAAAATATTTTTTACATAAATTATGCAAGCAGATATCAGAGAAAAGTTAATAAGTAAACAATAGTTAGCTGGAAAAAGAAATATTTTCATGGAAAGATAATACACTCAGGAAAATTAATACATGAAAGGACATAGAAGTAACATAGAACCAAGCAAAATAAAAAAAAGAATACATATAAATGCAAATTAACATTGACAAAACACACATGCCACTTGTTCTAAAACACCTTCATGGATATACATTATCCCCATTATCTTGTCAACCTCCTACACTAAACTGAGAACATCTCTAGATGATAAGAGAACCTGTTTTGGGTGGTTGCTTACTTCAGGATTGGGTGTCTATTTCTCAATATTTGGAGTCTATTGTAAGAAAAAACATCATCGGTACCTAATCTTATTACTTATTATCACTTTAGACTCTACAGGAAAAAGAAAAAAAAAGGCGAAGAAAGGGAGAAAAAGGAAAAGAGTAAAAAAAAAATTCTTTTGAAATGTTTACTAGCATTTATTTTCTCATCCTTCCTGGATTTTAGGAAGTTCCTAGCATAGGTTTGTGGGATTTGTTCCTTTTTTGATTTTTGAACTTCTGTATGTTCTTTGACTTTAGTTTAATGGTCAAGTTATAAAAAAAATCTCAGTGTATTCTATGAAGATATGAAATACTGTTTGAAAACAATTGCTCCTTCAAAGCAATATGATAATATCTGTTTAAAAAATACATATCCTGTGATCTTGCAATCATTGGCAGTCATCATGTAGTAATAACCTACTAGTATATAGTGTGACATGTGCAAGGATATTTATTATAATATTGTTTTTAGAAGGGAAAAATTTAAAAAACTATTATAAATAAATAGCAAAAATGATTATGCAAACTCTACTACTTATCTCTTAAGAATGTAACATTATGAAGTTGTTTTACAAAGGAGTGAGCACTACTTGTGGAACATCCTTAATATATTGTTAAGAAAGCCAATGTAACAATAGTAAGTATGACACAAGCCCAACATTGTAAAACCAAATAAAAAGACACCATAAAATAAATGCTATTATCACTATATTAGTTTAAATAAAATTCCATGAAAATGCAGAATTGGGAAAAGAGTAACTACCAGTCCATTCATTCTATTTACATCAGGGGAATATGAATAGACAAGTGGCTATGCAATGTCACTAATGTACCTTTTATATTTTAATATGTCTTCCTTGATTTCAATGAGTATTTAGGGTTTTGGTAATTCAGTGAAATTGAAAACATATTATTTAATTCTACACCAAAAATAAACTAGAAAGAAGAATGTCAATCCTCTAGTGTCAAATATTCGCCAAGCATGTGGAGAGCAAAAAATATAACACAGCATAAGAGAAGGTGGTGTGGACATGCCTTTATGTCTCCAGTGCTCTTTGCCCAGGGAGACAACATTATTCATCCCCTTGGGTTCCTCGCATGGTGAGGTTCTTTAGAGTTACTTAAACTTAGAGTGAACCCAAACCCAACCAGTAGTAATCTTCATCCCTGAGTCACATCCTTGATCCTGAAGTGGCTCACAGTCTTCTCCCTCTTCCATGGGGAAGTCCTTCAAAGTCTGAGAAAATCAATGTGTTCACTCTTCCTGGCATTTCTGCAAATTATGGTAATTACAAACTGCTGAGCCATGTTTTCAAGTTGTTTCAGCATTTGGGAGCCACAGAGAAATTTGTCAGTGTCACTTCTAAAGGAAGCTCACCTGTGACACAGCAACATATTAATCAACTTGGTAATCAAATGAGCATATTTCCAGCATTAGATAGACATTATGATATGGAAGAAAAAGATCTCTTAAGATTGTTGGAAGAGTCCAAGCAACAAGTGATCTTTCCTGAACTAAGATAGATGAGGGTGGGAAGGAAAGACTAGAAGGAATTAGGACGTGATTTCTGGTACAGGCATAGTACTGGCTTCTACATTGGAACTGGAGGGAGAGTAAAATGGAGATGTGAATGTAGACTGAGAATAAGTAACTGAGCAACAACAGTGGCATTAACTGGGATGGGGAATAGAAAAGGGAGAAATGGGTAGAGGCAGATTGAAGGAGTGAAATAAAATGCTCTACTTTGAAAACTAAATTTGAGTTGTCCATTATACATTCAAGTGATGGTCCAGTAGCAATGAAATATATGAGATTGGATTTAAGGTCAGAGATCAGATATGGACTTTATACTGGGAGCTGTCAGTGAAATAGTATCATCTAAAGCCTGGACCCCAATGAGATTAGTGAAGGAAAGAGTTAAGGAAGAATAGAGAGTCTAAAATTTAGATATTGAATGAAGAAGTTGCAAGACTAATACTCAGTAAATTAGAGTGACCAAAAAAGAAGATAGATAGCTGAAACTTTCTCTTTTTCCAGTAAAGTTTGAGTGAATATTATCATTTGTATGTATGATGTGGTTTAAATAGCAATGAGGAGGAAATCAGGGAATTTGTAAAATGTCATGTTATTGAGAGGGCAAGAGCACACGTGAGAGAAGCACACTACAATATGGGGTCAGTGTGGAGGATCCATCAGAGATTGGATTACAAATTCAAAGAGACTAGCAGGATAATTTTACATTATAACAAGATACAGTACTTGTCCATGATTCAGCAGTCCTTGCTTAGTCCAGTGCAGGCAGCAAAGTGTTAGGTAGTTGACTCAACTATTCTTCTCATTGACAGATAAAGTAGAAACCAGGGAATTGAGTGTACTTGAAGGGGGAGGATTATAATGGAGCATCATGTTGTCTAATCAGGGTAAGAAGAACATGTGCAATCTTGAGGAGAGTGGAAGAATGAAAAACTGATAGGGGAAAACATTTGCAGTCTTCATGAGGATGAAATATCTGGAAAAGAAGCATAATGAATATGTGCCACAGAGAAGAGGCAACAGTCAGAGAAGGAACAATGTAAACAAGATCTCAAGCTGGACAGTTAGTGATGGTCAATAGTGTGGCCATCCAGGGAGACGGGATGTAAGTGTAATGCCTCCAAGGGATGAAGTCAGGAATGGAGGCCAGTATGTTATCTCAGTGGAGTGCAAGTTTCCTGGCAGCACCAGGTACAGGAGACAGAGGAGCCTAGTGATCCTGGGATTGCAGCATTTCTGGATGAGGGGAAGCAACCAGGCTGAAGACTGACACCAGTTGAAGTGATAGCTGGTACCACTTCATGGGACAAATTTTAAGCACGTGGACATGAAGAAAAAATAATATAAATTGTTGAAAATGACAAAAGAAAGGGGGAACATTTTTACTCTAAGATTTGACTCAGAAATATTCTTTTGAAAAGGAAGCACAGAGTCTCCAGATGATAAAGATATCATTGTTTTCACAGGACAGCCAGTTTTTTTTTATCAGAATATAAAACTGAAGCACCCCTTATAGGTTTTAAGAAATTGGAAGACAGTAGCCTCCAATTTCCAACAGGCTCCATAGAATGTTTCCTGTGAGAGGGATGAAGTGGTTCATTTGCAGTAGCATATGGATAAAGGCTCAGAGGAGGGAGTATCAACCAAGACCTCTGGGACTGTAAGAAGATGAATTCAATAATAAAAAGGGGAGACAGGCCCCTCATCTCACAGCAATTCCCCATAATGTGGCAGACAAGAAAACTAACAGACAGCTTTTCAACAGAATTGGTATTGGGGCCATGGAGAGGAATTGAACTTTTCTTATCCATCCAGATAATCAGGCATCACTCTCCCCAGCTTCTTCCTACTCTGCTCATGATGGGATTTTATCGCTACCTCAAGTCACCAGGCTTCTCACACCTCAGTATTTACACTGACCAAAAGCTCTTATTATTGTCTTAATTTGACATCTACTTCCTTCAATGGTCTCAACCTAAATGTGATTTCTCTTTTCCTCAAATTACCCATTTACACAGCACCTTCCACTTCTTTATGACACATTTCTGGTTGGTGTGTGTCATCATGCTAGAGGATAAACTCCATGAGGACAGGGGGAATATTTTCTTCTTGGCTCTCCTCCTCATTGCTAGATGCAATTCACTCAATTACTTATCATCAACAATCTGAACTGAGAGTTTGTCTGACTGATGTAGATGGCTGATGTCCGTAAAAGACCATGGGCTCAAACAAATATGACTAGTACTGGATACCCCAAGTTTCCCTCACTCTCTTGAGAATATGGGGTGAATGAAGTGCTTGCTCCAAATCTTAGTTTCCACATCTGGGTTAAATGATCACCATAATACTTATGAGAGTTTGCTGAGAGGTTTAATCTTCATTACATGTAGAAAAAAAAAAACCAAAAAAAAATCTTAACACTATGACAGGACATAGCAAGTGATTTATATAATTGAGGTAAAATTCCTCACTCTACTAAGGAAATAGAGAATAATTATTATAGACTAGGACTATACTAGCCATTTTTAGACAGTTTTTTACCCTTAGAGGATAAGTTCATGCTCAATTTAATATCCATGGCATTTTCCACATAAATGGCTGTCAGAACAGGTTTACTTAATTCTGTCATTGAAACAAGATTGTAAATTGAGGCTAAAATAATCTCTATTCAAATTTGTATCTCAGAAACTTATTTGAACTTATTCACTTCGCTTGAAAGTATGAAAAAAACTTAGAGTGAGGACACAGGAAGAGGGAGTAAGTCACCTGAGCACATGATATAAGCTTCCTCCTTTGCAGAGCAAGATCTCTGTTTCCAGGGGTCAGAAGGACACTGCCAGAGAGAGGTGTCCGTTTTCCTACACTGGATTCCATCCACCCAACGAGGTCTAGAACCTTCTCTGAGAGGAACAGAAGTGTTGAGAGTCCCACTGTCCCCACAGCCAAGCTGTCTGCAGATCACGGACAAGGTCACAGCTTCCATGGGGCTGTGGCAGACACTGCCCCAGGTGTTGTTGTAGAAAACCTCCAGCCACCCAGCACACTCCTGGTCCTCGCTCACCAGCCTGAGGGCCAGGAACTCTGAAACCAAGAGGAGGAAAATAGGACACAGTGAGTATTTAATATTTAGTGCTGTTTTACTTTACCCCTATGTAGTGAGTGCTCATTGCTAACTTTGCTTATGAAATACCCACCAGGTGGAAAGACAAAACATATATCCCTTGACCTGTTTTCATAATTTGTATGTATCTTTGTAATTCTATGACAATGGTATAGTGGAAAATGAACAGGCAGGAACACTGAAGTGGGATTCTTAAGGGGAGGGAGGAAAAGCTACCTAACTAAGTATCTGACAGACCCTGGGAAAAGGGGTATGGACAATGAGGTGGCAGAACAGTGAAGTCCCAGATATGTCAGTTCCTGATCCTGAAGCTTGTGAATAGGTTACCTTTTGAGGCAAAGGGGCTTTGCAAACAAGATCAAGATGAGGAATTTTTAATGGTGAGATTATTTTAGATTATCTGGGATTAATTATGTCAGCTCAATCTAGCATCTTTTATCTGTATACTTATAAGCAGACAATGGTTTCTGACTCTGATCATAGAAAGATGTGAAGATTAAAAAATGGTCAGAAGTATGCAAGGTAGTTGACTTGAATAGTTAAGGCAAATCCAGGTAATTTTTATATATTAGAAAGGCAAGGAAATGAGTATTTGAAGAGCCTCTGCTGAATGTAGCTCACTGACACCTCGTTTATAGCTCAGGTGGACTGCGGTCAGACTTGAACTCATGTTGTTTTAAGCCACTTACTCTGTGGTAATTTATTATGGCAACAGTAGGAAACAGATACAGTGGGTCTCAGCATGTTGCACACATAGTAACTAAAGCATGAGGTCTGCAGTCAAATGAACACTGAAGAGAATGATTGTCAGGAGGCAGGGATGAGAAGGAAGGAGCAGAAACTCAGTTGCTGCACCAGGAAATGAAAGCACCTCATCTTTTCTGCTACAGGGACAGGGAATGTGGGATGAGCCTCCTCCCCCTCTACCCTGCCACCAATTTCCCCTCCTCTTCCGTAAGGCTCAGATACCATCCTGTACATGCTTCTGATTTCTCCTACTTGTACCCAGTATGGACCACAAACCTGAGCAGATGACCCCAGCGTCTTCTTTGTGCCTGCAGTTGTGCTGCCCCCAGCCCTGGGAAGGGCATTGCCACAAATGGGTCTCCTCTCCTGTGCAGTTCAGCTTATCCAGCCAGATGGGCCCTGATCCCTCTCCAATGTGAGCAGAGATGGTGGCCTCCAGGGCCACTCCACAGCCCAGCTGTCTGCACACCACGTGGGCATCATTCAGGTCCCAGCTGTCATCACAGATGGAGCCCCAGGAGCCCTGCTGCAGGATCTCCACTCTCCCTGCACAGTGACTGCCCCCATCCACCAGGCGGAGCTGTCTGCTGTCTGAGGAGAGACAGGGTCATGTCAGTGGGCATTTGCACAGGGAATGGGACAGCTCTGGTGCTGGGGCCTTGCTTACCTGAGCAGTTGGCAGTGTGGCCCTCTGAGGCTGCAGACCCTGCTGGGTCAGACCAGGAGTCATTGCACTGGGGCAGCAACTCAATCTGGTTACCTACAGATGGGAGTAGAGAGGATTAAACTGAATTAAAGTACATAATAATCTAGTGATGGCATCTGAACGCTGTAGGTCAAAATCAGTAATTTCCTATCTTCAGAACTGTTCTCCTAATGGAGATTTCTTCTTCTGACTCTGACACTTTGGGGGCTATATGTCAAGCACTCAGAGTGACTTTAGAAAAGTGAGAATATGTTAATGCTTCTTGAGGACATTGCATGGCTCCCATGATAGCTAGACGTTAGCAGTCAAGTGAAGAGAAATGTAAAATGTGGGATTAGCTATTTTTTTCCCTGAAGGTACTTGCCTATTCTAAGTTAGAAGGTAAAACTAAAAATCTCAGCATATTTGCCAAATTGCCTTGGCCATACACAAATATAATTTAGCTTGGATCAAAGAGGAGAAATCATGTTAAACAACCAGGAAACTTGTATTGTATTTTGTGAAAGAAAAAGGATTTTTGTCACAGTGATGGTGCCCAGTTTCTCAAAATTTCACTTGTTTTTGTATAATGTGATCTATCTTAGATACAATACATGGAAGGTGCAAAATAAAATCCTTTCTGAAGGTTTTGTATAGTTTCTCAAAAAGCATATTGATCCAAAACACCACATGAAATAGAGTTTACTAGACAACAAACAGGAACAATGAAAAAAAAAAAATGGAAAAGATTTTTAGATATTAATATTGGTGTTTCCTTATAGGTGATCTAAATAATCATGTTTAATTGGTCTATTAAATGGCATGATGTGTATCTTGGCAGAGAAATGATCACCAAAATATAGTAAAAATTTGCAAGTTAAAAAATCAAGAGCTAAAAATAAGAACTCAAAGGTGAGTCAAAAACATTAGATTATCACAGAATAGAAATTGAAAAGTACAAAAACACAGAAAAATACACAGAGTAAATCACAGAAATATAAGGATAGAAACTACAAACAAGGACTTGTGAGACATGGTGAGAGAACCTAACATTCCTATGTAATCTATAAGTTTTAGATATTTAAGGCCACTATAATAGTGCTAAAAGTACAACTTAGAGAATACACAATTTCAGATATTCAATATACATATAGCTTTAAAGCATTTTCACAAAATTTTTGATGTTCTACCTATTGACCTCTGGAGTCCATTTCTCCTTTCCTTGAATCTGGGCTGACCATGGTGAATTGTCTATAAGCAATAGAATGTGGTGAAGCCAAAATGGCTTGACATAGAAACCTAGCTTAGAAAATCATGACTCCTTCTCTTTAGGATGTTTGTTTTATGGCATATCTATTGTATAGAGACTATCATGTGGGAGAGACAATTTGCAGGAGGTTCTGTCAACAGCCGCAAGCTTGAACTTCAAGCTACCAGCCATGTGAATAAACTATCCTGGATTCCCAGCTTGGTTAAGTCTTCAAGTGATCTCAGTTCCCTATGATATTCAAGAGTAACATTATGACAGATCCCAAGAGGCAATAGCCAAGAGGTTTTCCCAAATTCATGAGTCAGGTAATGATGAGAAAAAAATGAAACATATTTTTCATTTGTGTTGTTCTTCCTTTCTCTTTCTTTCGTGCTTTCATTCTTTCAAATACCTAACTTACAGAATAAGCATAGAATTTTTAAGGTTGCTAGAAACAAATATCATATTACAATTAGAGGAAAACCAATTTGCATCTCAGCTTATTTCTCAAACCAGACTCCAAAATCTAGGAGGTCTTGGAATAATATACATCAAGCTTTCACAGAAAAAGGATGTCAGCCAAGAATACAATACCCAACAAAATTAAGCTTCATATTTGAAGATGAAATTAAAACCTTCCATGATAAACAAAATTTTTAAAAAATCACAACTAAAAAGCCTGCACTACAGGATATTCTCAGAAAAATATTCCAGGAAGAAAAAAATGAAAAATAAAAGTGAAAATCAGCAAAGGGAGAAGGGGATAAACTAAATCAAATTAAAAACCAGAAATAAAACAATATAATAGGGAATTCAAATCATATCTCAATAATATATTTGAACATAAATAGGCAAAACTCATCAATCAAAAGACATAGACTGGCATATTGGATTAAAATAACACAACCCAACAATATGCCATCTCCAAGAGACTCACCGCTCAGGCAAAGACATCACAGACTAAAAGTGAAAAGATGGAAAAACTATATCACTCATATGGATCATGTGAACAGTCAGGTATTTCTGTCCTCATATCAGATAAAGTGAACTTCAAGCCAAAACTAATCTTAAGGCACAAAGAAGGACATTTCATACAGCTTAAGGGAATGATACATATGCAAAACATAGCAGTTGTAAATATTTATGCCTCAAAAAAATCAGCATCTATGCACATGAAACAATTCTTCTCAATTTCAAAAAAGAAATAGTTCATAACACAATAATACTAACTGAATTAAACATACTCTATCACCACTCCATAGATCCTCAAAACAAAAACAAAAGAAATCATAGCACTAAATAATGCAATCAATAATTTTGACTTTAAGGGCATATATAGAGTATTTCATCCATCAATGATTGGAGACATTTTCTTCTTAGCAGTACATGAATTCTTCTCTAAAATAGACCATATCTTATGCCACAAAGAAACTCTTAGAAAATATAAAATTAGAGATGTTACGTTGCATCCTATCCAATCATAATGAAATTAGAAATCAATGATGTAATTAAAAAAAATAGAAGCTACTCTAACACCATAAAATTAAATAATACACTACTGAATGACCAAATGATAGAAGAAATCAGGATGAAATAATAAAATACATAGGGGAAATGAAAATAATGTCACAACATATCAAAATCTCTGGGACACTATGAAGGCA